TATCACCCAAAGAACTGCCTCGTGAAAGGCAGGATGAAAGCTCTTGGGGCCTTAAAAGTCCTTTTTGCTAGGGCAGTGGTTGGCAAACTGTGGCTTGCGAGCCACATGCGGTTCTTTGGCCCCTTGAGTGTGGCTCTTCCACAAAATACCACGTGTGGGCGTGCATATTCAGTGCGATTGAAACTTTGTGGCCCATGCGCAGAAGTCGGTTTTTAGCTCTCAAAAGAAATTTCAATCGTTGTACTGTTGATATTTGGCTATGTTGACTAATGAGTTTGCCGACCACTATGCTAGGGGTTACCATTTTGGAACAGAGAGAGACCCAGTTCTTATGACTAAGTTGTTTCTACCACTGGCTACAAGGAAATTACAGGCTGCCACAGGAGTCCCCTGGAGGTGGGCGTGTCCAGCCGTCACACCCAGGGCTTAGTCCAAGCTTCTAGTCGGTGGACGGGAAACAACCTTGAGCTTGTGGGAGGATAACCCAAGGGGCTTTTTACCTTGTCACGGTGTCCTCCTTGGTGGGCAAGGTGAGAGGCTGTTTTCTCTGGAATGCCTGAGATCAGCGTTCTTCCCCTTAGAAGTGGTTAGTTTCCTGTTTACACGTTTATATTCTCTGTTAGATTTACCTGCACAGAATCTTGCTGTTCTTTCTCCGTGTTTCCCTCCTGCGTTGATACATCTGCTTAGGAACTAGATATTTAGGTTAGCTCTACAGAACCCCCCAGGTCCCTTTTGGCATTCCCACTCTTACACACTGCTGCTCCGGGAGGAGGGGAGGCGACATTCCCTGTGTCTCCCTAGAGAAAGAGGGCGGGCAGGGGTGGGGAGGAGGGGAGGTAGGCCAGGGATTGACAGACAATCCCCGCAGTCACAAGGGAACACCAAAGCAAAGAACATATATAAGAGCAAACTGCAGGTGAGCAAGCTTGCCCAAGGATGTCCCTCCTACCAGCCACACACAAGGGCTTCAGTCCTAGAGAACCAGGTGTATTAGAACAGTTTGCAGGGCATTCCTAGTTCACAACACACAGGGTCTGGCCTCTGGGTGGCAAACAAAATCTGAAAAATGGCATGGATTCAAACATCAAGATGATTCTTCAGCTCTTAAGCCCCAGGGACATAAAGCAACTTCTTTTTTAAAATCCTTAACCAAGGATGTTTACTGATTTTAAAGAGAGAGGAAGGGAAGGGGGGGGGGCAAAGAGCGGAGGGAGAGAGGAAAAGAGAGAGAGAGAGAGAGAGAGAGAGAGAGAAAGAGAGAGAGAGAGAGAGAGAGAGAGAGAGAGAGAGAGAGAGATTGGTTGCCTTCTGTGTGAGTCCTAACTGGGGATCGAACCCACAACCTTCTTGGTGTATAGGACGCTCCAACTGAGACACGAGGCCATGGCAAAGCAGTTTCTTGGTGCCCCAGTTTTCAAAGCCCACTTTTCAAGAGCTATGTCCTATAATTCTGAAGCCCTTTTCTTTCCACTGCTTCAAAAGGCTGCAGTGGCTCAGATTTCGCCATGGTCCTTGTTAGGTTGTATTTCTCAAACTGATCATAAGGTGGTGATGATAAAAGTATCTGCCTTCACAACCGAGGTGGCTGCTGACAGCTAGTTATCGAAAGACATCGCCATTTTACAACAGGAACTCAAGACAGAAGGTATGATGGAAAGTCATTTTATTTTTCCCCAGATAAATTTTAAAATAAAAGATTTTAATGGAAAACTTCTAGTACCGCCATGTCACCCTGAACGCCAGCGACACTGTCTTTCACACACGTAGGCAGCCAGGCCCAGGCCCCGGCCCCGCCCGTATACACATTTCTCCATGGCCTTTCCACAGTTTTGCATGTACAAAATTTTCTGCTATTTTGCTTTAGCAAATAGCAACATAATTTAAAACGTTCATGTCGCCTATGTGACACCTAAAATCCAGGCCTATATTTATTAACACAGTTAGAAAAATAAAAGCCTTAAAAAATTCATGGTAGGAGTTTACGGTGTTAATCACATCATCTCTTCAAATGTAAGATCATTTTTTACATTTCTACACAACAACCTTCTGGTTTAATTTGAAAGGCTTAAGACAAACTCGAGTAGGACTGTTAAGTCGATGTACACATCAATTATTTTAATTTTTACTTGTCTTGGGAGAGTTAATTTCCACTGTCCACTCAATGAATGCCTTTCAAATATTAATAAATATATTACAGTATTTACAAGCATTCTTATCTACTCTGACACTGGTAGAAAGTTAAGCCATGGGGAAGAAAACAAAATCTCCCAACAGGGTGAGTTCATGAGGTCTGGGACCAAAGCAGCGGGTGGGTACTTGAGCCTGGATGGGGGAGAGGGGGAGGGTCGGGGTGAGAGTTAGAGGAGGGATGTGTGCAGGGAGGCTGCTCAGGGTGCGTCCAAGCTCTAAGACACATCAGGTTCCAAGAGATCCCAGCTGGCCAACAACTCTATTATTGTTGGATCAGAAGTAAATGCCAGAGAGCTGGAAGCCAGGACAAAGAGGAACGCTGTAAAGGTATGTTATTTTAGTAGAAAGAGGAGGAAGAGAGACCTAAGGTCAGCCTAAGGATTGTTAAGACCACACTCTACAAGCTGTTAGTGAATTGCTCTCTGGAAATTACCTAATTTAGTGGAGGTGTTTGGTACACGCCATGGACAGGACAGGATTAAATGTGAGAAATTATTTTGGCAACAGAAAGTGATACTAATTTGATTTCTCTAATTTTAACTATATCATCTGCTCTTTCCTTACACTACTTTCTGCAAATTGTCTCATGCAGATATATCATCCATGTAACTCCTTTAATGCAATAATGCTGTTGAAGAATTTACATTGCAATGCTCTGGTGTGAGGTGATCATAATGCCCAAACCTGCCCATATGGAGAAGTCAAGTCAAAGATTCAGATGTGCTAGATATTTGCCTTGTGAATAAAATGATCATTTTGGGGGTTTGGTTTCTTATATGTAATGAACAACATAACCCGGGATAGCGTGTCATTCTATTAAAAGGCACACTACCCCAGGTCACCTCAAATACCACTCCCTCTGCCCGGCACCCTCCTGGTAGCTGTTTAGAGGCCCAGGCCCGGGCCTTGGAAACGTGTGGCTCCTACCAGACTGTCTGGGTAGAGTTCAGTCTTTTGGAAAATTTTCGAAATGACATTCACCCAATATAACGTGTAAAGCTCTTAGACAAGAGTCTTTAAAATAATTTAAACATTTGCATAATCATCAAGGGTTCTCTGGTGGCCCACTTTACATGCAAATACAGACAAACTGTTTAACATGCATTATTTTAATCAATTGGTAAAATTTATTTCATAAGTAATTTTAAGCCATTTACTAAATTGTAAACTTCAATCCATTAAGAACTACTACCAGAGCAGTTTTGAGGTATTACTGTTAATTTAATATAGAAATGTTACTACAGTTTGATGTGGTATGAAGTGTGACTGCCATGCCTTTTATGATTTGGTGCTGTTGTAGTAGTGTTGACTACAGATGTATCTTACAGATTTTAGGAAATTATTGTGCATGTGCATTAACTGACTTTCCAAACATTAATGGCAATTTGATTGGTTGGTCGTTTCTAAGCATACCAAAATAATAAAGTATAGCCCTGGTATGGGCCAAACAGGAGAAATTTCAGATACACAATGTTATCTTCAACCTACCTTCATCAAAAGCCCACCCCACTTGCTCAGTTGTTTACAAGGAAAACTTGTGCAAAAAACATCCAAAAAGACTAACAGCAGGTTAATTATCTTCTAATTTAAAAAGAACTAGACAATGTTTTTTTTTTCTTTTCTTTTCAACTTCACTTATAAAAATAAATAAATTTTAGTTTGAGACCTTAGGTACCAAATTGTGGCTTGATTTAGTCATGGTGGCTAGACTGTAAAGCCGTGGAAACTGTAGTGGAAAATGCATGAACTCCAGCTCATCCCCAGTGTGGCCGCCAGCTGGCACCCGAGGCTGTTACAACCCTTTTTATAGTTAGCTTGTCTTCTATCCTACAAAACTTTAACTCCCAGGTCTCCAATATAAAACGACAAGTAACCACGGTACATGGAAGATAGGGAATGAAAACCTGTCACTCACTCAAGAGATACTGGTCCATTGCACTGGGGCAAACACAGCAGCTCAGAGGGAAATGGCCATCCACGCGGGTGGATGGCTGATTCAGGTGTGTTGTGCTAAAATGTAGGCATGAAGTCCTCCTGTGGTCTTTATCTCAGAGCAGCAATAATCTAAAATCAGTTGGACAGTATGAGTGAGCAAATCCCTCTAGGCTTTGTGCTGTGAGCTGATAAGTAGCGGGCCCCACCCCCAGACATCTGGTGAGCGGCAGGGCTCGGTCACTATGTACATTAGATAGGAACACTGTCAGGTGGAAGTGCCAATATGACTTACTGCTTAGAACTGTGCTAACATCGACACCTTTGTTAGGCTGATTTCTCACATGAGAAGATTTTTACCTTAGTCAGAAAATTATATGAGGAACAGTAAGGAACTGAACTAAGGAAAAAGTTTCTGGCCTCCAAATCTACACACACACACACTCACACACACACACACACACAAAAGCAAGTTTCAAATTATTGTCCTCTCAGTGCAAACGAGCGATTGGCTGACCTGTCACATATCATCGATGGATATGAACACAGCGCTCAGTCTGTGGAACAATGCGATGCAGCAAGAACCTGACCTAATGCAAATCAAGCCTATTAACTAAAGCCCACAGCAAAGGGAGACAGTCCAGCTCAGTGTTCTCCAGTGCTAACGCCGACACCGAGCACAAAAGCAACTGAAAGGCACAGGCTCAGATTTCATTGATAGTCCTCTCTGAAGGGCAGTACTCGGAGGGGCCCGGTGAGGACATATAGAAAGACTGTGTCTTCCTTTTTAACCGGGCTCTTTTGTTGGCCAGCACCAGGCTACGCCGGCTTGAACTGATGATTTCCGAAATAAACTTTTTGCAGTCTACACACACCTCCATGGTACTCCAGTCCTCCATTAACTCTTTGGGAAACTGTAGTTCTTCATCGGATTTGTCCACAGACTTAGATTTTGAAGAGAACCTGGAATAAAACAAAATGTTTAAAAGATCCAGAATTATTACTCCAAGTTGTATTGCAATACTAAAAAAATAAGTGCAAAAAAAAGAAAATTTGTTGCAAAAATATTATGGAATGGTGAGTGATTTAGTCATGTCATGTTCTTGCAAAGAATTTCTAATTGGAGAAAGGGTTCAAAATATTAAAAAATAAATAAACAAAAATCCCATCATCTCACTTACATGTGGAATCTAATGAACAAAATAAACTGGTGAACAAGTAGGTTCAGAGACATGGAAGCATAGAACAGACTGACAGATCTCAGAGGGAAGTGGGGAATGGAAAGAGATTAATCAAATAACATATACATATATGCATAACCCATGAACACAGACAACAGTGCAGTGAAGGCCAGGGTGGGGCGGAGCTGGGCGGAGAGGATAAAGGGAACATGTTTTATTAAGAAACTAGAGGCCTGGTGTATGAAAATCCACGCATTGGAGGGGGTCTCTCAGTCCAGACTGCTCCCTCTCACAGTCCGGGAGCCCTCAGGGGCAGGAGGCGACCCAGTGACCAGGGGAAGGCGATGCCCCCATCATACCTCTGCTGCTGCCACTGCTGGCAGTGCAAGCCTTGGCCAGCCCTGGTTACCTGAGCCTCAGGTGGCTGGGCAGCTGCCATCCAAGGCTTGCCTGTGCCTCGGCCAGCCCTGGGCGGGTGAGCAGCCACCATCCGAGGCTTGCCTGCGCCTTGGGCTGGCCCTAGGCGGCTGGAGGACTGAGGAGACTGGGGGACTCCAAAGGCAGGTGCATGGAGCGGCCAGACTGGCCTGGGGGGTGGGCTTGGCTGTGCCATGGGCCTGCTGCCCCAGCGGGGCTGAGGGGACTGGGCGCTGCCATCTTGTGGCTGTGAGTGCCACCATCTTTGAGGGTGTGGCAGTCAGTTAGCATATTCTCTCCTTATTGACTGTGGGCGCTGCCATCTTTGTGAGGGGCATGATGGCGAATTATTCCCTCTTTATTAGACAGGATAACATTGACTGGCGAGGATGTGAAGAAAAAGGAATCCTTGTGCACTGTTGGTGGGAATGCAGATTGGTGCATTGTGGAAAGCAGAATGAAGTTTCCTCAAAACATTAAAAATGAAACTGCCTTATGACCCAGTGATTCCTCTTTTGGGAATTTATCCGAAGAAACCCCAAACTCTAATTTGAAAGAATATATACCCCTATGTCCTCTGCAGAGTTATTTATAATAGCCAAGAAAGATTTGGAAGCAGCCCAAGTGCTCATCAGTAGATGAGTGGATGAAAAAGGTATGCTATGTTTACACAGTGGAATACTACTCTGCCTTGCAAAGGAAGAAAATTTTACTCTTTGTGACAGCATGAATGGTCCTAGAGAACATTATGCTAAGTGAAATTAGCCACTCAGAGAAAGACAGGTACCATATAATCTCACTCATATGTGGACTTTAATGAACAAACTGAACTAGCTAACAAAATAAATAAATTTTGATTTAGTCATGGTGGCTAGACTATAAAGATGGCCTGACCTCCTTCTACTTTTCTTAAGGACCAACAGTAACCTTACTCTTACTCTGCCTCAAATTCAAAGGGATTGATGCTCAGGCAACTTTTGTTTTCTTTTAAATTGCCAGCTCTTGGCATAAAGCTTCATTTCTGCCTTTAGGAAACTAAATTCCAGATCATAGTAAACATAGGATTAAACAGATTTTCTTTCAAACTAAAGAAGGAAAGAAAGATTAAACTGTTACATGCACATTTCAACTCCATTGAAAATAAGGGCAGATCTAAAGATGACTTTTAAAGGACCCACAAAAGTAATTATTTCTAAAGGGAACACATTGAATGGGAGAACATATTTGCCAATGATACATCTAATAAGGGGTCAATCTCCAAAATACATAAAGTTCTCATACAACTCAATAAAAGTAAGGTAAACAATCCAATCAAAAAATGGGCAAAGGACTAAATAGATACTTTTCTAAATAGGAGATACAAATGGCCAAGAGACGTATGAAGAAATGTTCAAGGTCACTAATCAAACAGAGATGCAAATTAAAATGACAATGAGATACTACCTTACACCTGCCAGAATGGCTACCATCAATAAATCAACAAACAACAAGCACTGGCAAGGATGTGGGGAAAAAGGAACCCTCGTAAACTGCTGGTGGGAATGCAAACTGGAAAACAGCGTGGAGTTCCCTCAAAAAATTAAAAATGGAACTGCCATTTGACCCAGTGATCCCACTTCTAGAAATATTTTCCAAGAATCCCAAAACACCAATCAGAAAGCATATTTGCACCCCTATGTTTTATAGCAATGCTATTTATAATAGCTAAGATCTGAAAATAGTCCCAGTGCCTATCAGTAGATGAATGGATAAAAAAAGCTGTGGTACATTTACACAGTGGAATACTACGCAGCTGTAAAAAAGAAGAATCTCTTAACCTTTGAGACAGCATGGAGGGACCTGGAGAGTATTATGCTAAATGAAAGAAGCCAGTCAGAGAGAGACAAATATCGCATTATCTTGCTTATATCTGGAATCTAATGAACAAAATAATCTGACAAACAAAAGAGGTCCAGAGACATGGAAGCATGCAGTGGACTGGGGATTCTCAGAGGGAAGAGGGGAGGGAGGGAAGAGATCAACCAAAGAACTTATTTGCATATATGCATAGCCCATGTATGCAGATAGCAGTGGGGCGAGGGAGTCAACAAAGGGGAAAGGAGGGATGGCTGTAATACTTTCAATAATAAAGATACTTAAAAAAAATACAATATGTAAAAAGTAATTATTTTTAAATAGAAATAAAAAGAAACTATGAGAGTATTTCAAGTAGCTAACCACTAACCCTTGATGAGTTACCTTTCAGAAGTTTTGGAGATTTGTGTGCACTCAAAACTATATTAAAATCAGCCAAGCAACCCACCCACCCAAACCCTCTGGAGCCAAAACCCTGCCACATCACCACAATCCTCAGAAGGTGCATTCTTCTTTCCAAAGACTCTTTGAAGACCCGGCCTCTCGCTCACCTGGCAATGCTCCGCAGCGGCCGCTGGTGGCTGGCGGAGGGTTTTTCTGGCCTCACGCTACTTTCCCCTCGTTGTGAGGCAGAAGGTCCCAATGAAAAGATCGGAAGAGTAGAGTATGGCTTGGATGGCAGCCGCATCTATTATCCCAAGCAAAACTGAGAATGAGCAGTACTGTTACAAAGGCGGTCTATTAAAATTACTATTACGTTATGATGTCACCAAGCATAGCTTACCTTTTTGCAACACTGTGAGCACACGGGCCTGCATACAAAACCAAGAGTATTACTTAGCGGGATGCCACAGAGGAGAAAGGAGAGACAGAGAAGCCGATGGCTGCCTGTTGTCAATTTCTACAATAAATTGCAAGAACTCTCTGGTTCTTCTATCAGAATATAACAAATTGATACAACTGTGGGTTGCCAAAAAGATAATCTGTAAAACTTAACTCTTACATTGTTTCCTATAAAAGGATCAACTTACATCTGGGATTTTCTTAATTTTCTATCCAAGGGTCATATGACAATCATATCTATTTTTTTTTTCTGTTCAAACATGATACATTATTATTAGAATGATCTTGGTTATGTAAAAGAAATAGGAGAAACATTTTCAAGGTCTAACACTAAATAACTGTTTGATCCACTCTTTTGAAGAAATCAGTACTCCTAACCCATAAACAAAGCACAATGTGATAACAGATTTTTAATGTTGTTCCTATGTAGAAAAATAATGAAACAATGGAGTTAATTGGTATTTCTTTGACTACTGTCATCAATTACAAGAAACCTTACCTCTTACAGAACTGACAGGTATAAGACCAGGTGAAGAAGGAAAATCTCCTGATTCGGCAACAAAAGCAAAGCTAAAAAACACAAGTGTAAAAGAGGAAAACAAACAAATATCGACAATAGTTAATTTCCTATTTGCATGGTTTAAAGCATTTTATATTTATACCCTGGGGAAGTTTGGTACACAGAAGGAAGAGGAGAACTCACAAACCCTGTTCTTATGTTTGGCTCTGTGATAATTTTAATGGCTCCGTATTTCATCTAATTCTACTGTTAAAAGGTAGTAAAAGGCCACAGCTCCCTAGAGTTACAAATATCACATCATGGAAGCAACTGGAAGAAGGTTCTAAAAAGTCTCCCCAGTATAATGACTACATGCAGACATGGTTTTATGAAGGCATACCATTATTAGGGTTGTTTTAAACTTGCAGAGGTTTTGATTTCTAAGGGAGAAAAGATTCACTTTGGTGAGCAAGACAGAACAGGGATTGACTTCTGGAGAATAAGCCTCTTACCTCCTAAAATCCCTTAAAAGTCCTGCACCATCTGGCTGGCAGACAGCTCCCTAAGGAGACCATGCCTGTGACTGACCATTCTGCTACCCCTGCTCATCAATTGACTTGAAACAGCTCTACCTTTCCTTTTTTCAGGGCAGTGTAGACATCTTTATATTGTTGGTATTTTTCCAGTTCTGCCTTCACCAGGACCTGACGAATATGCATCACCTCCTCCACAGTAAGAGCTAGGCATTCCACTGGGTAGCAGAATTCCTCCTGAAATTCAAAATTCCACATGAATAAGGAACTCCCACCCCTTTTTCTGGCTTTGCAACATTTCCCTCCAGATCAGACACCTGGTTAGTAGCTTCTGAGAAGAAAAGAGGTCCCAGTGAACACTGGAACAGAGCTGGCTTACTCTGGGTACCACATAACTTCTAATTATACCAAGATAACAGATGGCAGAAAACGTCTGGGGACCATGTGAAACACTATAGCTTACTGAAGTTTTTTAAAAAAAACGAAAGCTCCTTGCTATGTATCTATGCTGTGAAACCTTGAAAAAAAATTTGTTATTCTAAACTAAATTTATGTCAGTTATCTCATATGATTATGCAAAGACATTATTTAGTATTGTGTTGATACTATATGCTAAGAGATAAACAGCAAATAAAAAACAGTGGTACTATTTTTAAAACTGGTTTGTGGTACCCAGAATAGCCAAAAGAAGGTGGTTAGTAATTTATACGGAGAAGCACAGTGGTAAGTTACATCAGCACACCTTGAAAAACCCTCATGGTGTGAGTGAAGCTGGAACATTGGTGCAGTTTACAGCCAAAAGGCAATCTCTACTGCTCCACAGTTCTCCAGATTTCTATTACGACTTTTAAACAACTACTGAATGCACAGTCAGCATTGGCAAGATGTGGGGGGAAATCAGGATAATTTCACAATAAATATTTATGTTGACTGAATTATGTTAATCGTTTCCCCCAAAACAGCTGAGGAAGATGTTGATGTAACTGATCCCACTGAATAAAGAGCCTCACCCCCATCTGCTCCCCATCCGGCCTGCTCTTGATCGGTGGATCTAATAGAAAGACAGAACAGTCTTGTGCATTCGCACCCTGCCAGGCCTCACAAGGGCCATTGTGGTGTGGTGACACTGAAACTTAGTGTTCTCAGTACAAACACATTACAATTCACTCCCACACACACAATGGCACTGGTCACAGGCATCCTGGAATCAAACAAGAAAATGAGAAAGCACATGACCACGAATGCAGTTTAACATTCAGCTCTGTCTTTCAATCAGAGGAAAACAAAAACAAATCTAGGTTGCAAACTTGACAAACATTAGCATTTACTAAAAAAAAAAAAAAAAAAAAAAGTAGTTTGAAGAACTATTGATTCTTACTAACAGTCAATACCAAATCGTCTGTGTTCAAGCTAACTTAAGGAAGGTTAAATTTGCTTAATTGTGTTTTGGAAAAAATCCTGCAATTGAATTTTTAAGATGAAGAACTTTGAATCTGGAGGCTGGGATGATAGACTGTTCAGATTATATAATTTACTCAAAATGTCTAAAATGCTTGTTAAAAAATCACCATTATGTTATTTTCTCTCAATGGGAAAGCTTTCAAAGATAGCAAGATTAAATAGGCATGTTCAATATCTACTCTGTTTGCTCCACTCTTAAGAAAAGCGTAGTGTAAATGGGACAAGGCACTGACTCGGTGACGGTTAGGACCTTACGCTGCACTAAGTACAGACTGTTGGCTGGACACATCTGAATGACAGCTTTTCTGAGCTTTGAACATACTTCATGGAACTTTTCCTATGGTAACTTTCATTCATCAGTTATACGTGTGACTTCAGTACATCTTCTGATAGATTACTGTGTGACAAAACTATTGACTTGAAACAAAATAATGTATAAATCTAGCAAATAACTATATAATCTCTACTGAAATTTATTGTTGTGCCTGATAGAAAGATGGCAAATAGTGCCAATTTAATTAACTTTAAACTTGGATGCCTAGTGGGCAATATTTCTGGTAGACGGGATCCTTTTTCTCTGCAAGGGTTCAGGAGCACATGCAATAAACCTGACAGCCTGTACTGTTCTCTCCCCAGTCTTATGTCATATAAGGGCTTAATCAAACATACTTTCAATCTACTGCTTTGAACCACATGCAAATCCAGTACTTCACAAGGAAATAATAGGGAATTGTGGATTTTTAAATTTGTGTTTCTTTTCTTTTAAAAAATTTCAAGTAAATTAGCCTTTAGTAAGATAATTTCCATCAGGACAAATGCTAATGTTTTAATTCTGGTGCCTTCCCAAGGACAACAAAACTTTAATGCAACATGAAAGAAAATAAGAAAGTTACTATTTTTCACTTTTTAATGGCTAAAAAATATTGATTCAACATCTCCCAAACCAAATTAAGCCTTAACAGATCTTGCTGAGATACTAATGCTCCAAACATAAAGAGCATTTCCCCACGGTGACAGTGGCTCGGTCACTCCTTCAGCTCTAAGCTCATTTTCATGGCAGGACATGGACTATATAGACTAGATCAGCACAACTCTAATTCTCCAGTTTCTTTGTACTTCAAAATGACTCTCAAATTTAGGAAAGGGAAGCTGAATCTCAAAGTGTTTTTAGTAATGATGACAATATTTATAGAAGCAGGTGTGCCTTTAGAATTTACTTTTATGTACATTACCAAGTTTTTATTGAAGATTTTGGTTATTTTTATCATTCAAAACAGGTCAGAGCCTCACCAGTGAGGCTCAGTGGTTGAGCATAGATCTTTGAAACAGAAGATCATAGTTCAATTTCAGGTCAAGGTACATGCCCCCAATAGATGGCATGCAGGAAGCAGCCGATCAATGATTCTCTCTCATCATTGATGTTTCTATCTCTCTCTCCCTCTCCCTTCCTTTCTGAAATCAATAAAAACATATTTAAAAACTGACAAAAAAACAAAAAAAACAAAACAAAAAACAGGTCAGAGTTAGGCAACACAGAAATTAGAAAGCAAAATGTGTATTCTGGTTACTGAGTAACAGAGAGAAATGGGAATAGTCGTATTTTATATCATGTTCTTAATTATAAAAAACTTCCTAATAAGTTTAAAAATTGTCCAAAATGATAATTTTTGAGTTTTTAAACTAAATAAAAATAGCAACTATTAAGTTTAATTGTTCTTTCCTTTTTTCAAGTTTCACTTTAAAATGTTAAGTGAATTCTTTGCCTAAAGTAATATGTGGAGATTATATATATATATATATATATATATATATATATATATATATATATATTTCTGTGTTTGGAGAGGATTAATAATAAAAATTAGCTAAAACCGGTTTGGCTCAGTGGATAGAGCATCGGTCTGCGGACTGAAGGGTCCCGGGTTCGATTCCAGTCAAGGGCATGTACCATGGTTGCGGGCATATCCCCAGTAGGGGGTGTGCAAGAGGCAGCTAATCGATGATTCTCTCTCATCGATGTTTCTAACTCTCTATCCCTCTCTATTCCTCTCTGTAAAAAGTCAATAAAATATATTTTAAAAAAATTAAAATGTTGACAGATCTTCAATAATAGCAGAAGGAGTGACAGGAGTTAAAATGTCATTCCCGCACTTAACCATACTGCCCAAATGGCAGATCTGAAAATAGGGAAAAGGTCAGAGATTCATCTTATGTTTCATGACAAATAAACAGGGAAAGGGATTTGTTGTTTCTCGTTCACATTCGCAGTTTCCTTTCTAAACCAAGGGTAATAAAGGATAACAAGGAAACCAGCTGCTAGCTCACTAGTTCAGTCAAGGTGTGTTTAGGAAATGAGGGCCCTGGTCAGTGTGACAGGCATGGCTGCCGCCAGCACTGTCAGCAGCAGTACCGCACTGGGAGGGGAAGCCTCCCGAGGCCCCAGGCTTTCCATTTCACTGAGGTTTGGAAATTATTGTACTTTCTTAAAAAAAAAAAAAAAAAAAGTACAGTCTGTATGAAAACCTCAAAAACAATAATAAAATGCAAGATTACCTAAAATATCTAAGATAACCAGAACAATAAAAAGAAAACTTGAAGTTTCTCTTTACAGAGAAGGGGCTCTCATAACAACCATATAACACCCTGACCATCACAAAGCAGCTGCATGAACCGTGCTGGGGAAGAGGAGTCCGAGCGCAGGGGACACATGATGGGCACACGGCCCTGGAAGCGCAGGGCTGGAGTGTGGGACACAGCAGTGACAGGGCTCTGTGGGAGGCAGTCTCCCCGATGGCAGCGAGGCCCTGGGGTGAAAGCACAGGCTCTTAGGGGTCCCTGCCCCTGGAGACGGGGGCATCATTCCTCCTGCTGTAAAACTGAGTCACTCCAAGAGACAAACACTGACATGTCCCTTGAATCTGATGCTGCATTTTGAGTTTGTTGTCCTTTCAAAGTTATTTTCCTCTCAACTGAGATCATGGTGTGCTCTATTCATCCTACAAATGATTGGAATCAATGATCAGAAGCAAAGTGCCCATCTAAGCTGTTAATTCTTGCAGAGTGCAGGAGTTCAGGTATCGCTGTCAGAGATAGAGCAAAATAATCCCCAGAACCAGCAGAAAGAGGCCAACCTTTGAGGATTTCCACCTGCTGGTAAGAGCTCTCTCACATAGATAATACATAGCCCCTGCTACCCCAAACATGGCTGCTTCAAAAGGATGAGAGCTGAGCAGAGAAGCTGTTTGTATGGTAGAAAAAAGTGGTCGGAAAGGCGTCCATGGCCATACACTGGTTATCCTAGGAACCTGAACAACAGATAAGGGAAAAGAAAATGGCAGGGGGAAAAGAAAAGGAGAAAATAATGCTGAACATGAGTGACCTACAAACAGTGGTTACAGAGCATGAAAGAAAAACAGAACAAAACAAAAACACCACAAAGGACGTTAATGGTAGATTCCATGCATATGTCCACACCAACATCTGTGCCCACATGTTAAAGTCAGCAATCAAACCATGAAGTCAATCCTAGAGAATCTCAAAGTTTATACAGCAAAGACCTGAACTTCAAATTTCCTAACATGCTGTCTGGTGAACAATGAGTTTCCTAAACCAGGCTCGCGGGGATGCAGGACAGGGCACCTGGCGCCGGGCCGGGGAGAGTGGGGGGCTGCTGCTCCCCTGGGGAAGGTTCTTATGACAGGTGGCCTTTCATTTAGATGGGCAGACACCTTCAATCATTTGACCAAATGACTGACAAAAAAATTACATAATAAAACATCCTAAGGAAAGGGAGGGGGATACAATAAAAATAACGACGACATTTCTGCCATTTTCAGTAAAGGGGTTAGAAATACAAAATGATTCTGTTTCTAAAATATAGCTAAGATTTTAAATGAGCATACTTTAAAAACAATACTTATCAAGCTGGAGGGTACTACGCACAGGAGTGCGATTTGATGGATTTCCTGAGATAAGCTATTAGCAAGAAAAGCCATTACTTGACCAGGATGGTATTTTGTCTCAGCTGGTGCGTAGAGGTTCTTGGGGGGAGTGTAGTTGTGTGGAGCCTGAACAGCCAATGCAATGCCTTTCACTGAGACCCTTCTTAGTGACTGCAAACTGACTTTGCTCTTTTTCCCACAGAAAAACCCAACTCACAGCCCGACCAACCACACTCTGAGAGGTCCCCTGTGCCAGGAAGTATCTTCATGGGCTCTTGATGTGGACTGAGTCTTTCTTGGCAAAAACTGTTATTGCTACCTGAAACTCCTTCGTTGTTGATCTGATGGTTGATTGACAATTTTAAAATTTAAGTCTAACTTTAACAATGATGTCATATGATATGATCATCTACATGATAAACTGGCTTCTAGGAAAAGCCACGTGAACAGAAGAATCGCCTAATTATCAGACCTATAAAAAATAATCCCTAAGGACCTCCCTCATACATATTTTTAAGTTGAGACAGTAACTCTGTATTTTGCTAAAGCAATAACTTGTTCACATTAACATAGTCTTCAGATTTTAAAAGTTTGAACCTGCCTAGTTAGAATTCTGTTTTCCTGCTATATTTAATCAAATATTAGCGTTTTGGTGATAAGAGGAATCCTGTCAAGAATTGCCATAAATCATTAATTCTTTAATTGTATCCTCTGAGAGCAGAGATGACTGATTAAATTTCAACACTGTAAGTTCTGTTCAACCTTAGCATCTTCACACTACCCACACCCTATTCCTCTACGTGGAGTGATACATCACAGCCTAAAAATATGGACTAAGCATATTCCAGTTTATTCATGGGTATCTGAAAAAAAAACACGAGATGTGAGGTTGCCAGTAGAACTACTGACTGAAGCCTTGCGTCTTGCCTGCACACATTTCTGAAGTTTAGTGGGACTACAAAGGAATCTCTGCAGACCTCCCCTGGCTGGTGATCTATTCTTCCTGGCTAGGGCGTTGTGTGCCACGTCCCACCGTTCTGAGACACGAATGGCCACTACATGAATCCAAGTCTCTGGAAAACAGCAAACACTGTCAACCAGTACAAACAGCAGCTTCGGCTCCAAAATATACTTGGAAACAGTGAATAACAGCTTTCAATGAATCAAAATTTTCTCCTGGTACTTCTGCATAATAAATTTAGCTACTACTGTAGCTAAACTTTGTTGTTTTTATTATTAGTTTTAACAATTTTTAAGTAGCTCAATACTGTTTGAAAGGAAGAAAACATTAGTTCATATTTTCTATCACTGATGTCTTCTGGGGGCAAAAAGGTGCTTTAAGTGAACAAAGAATGACCAACTTTCATTTAGGTTGCTGTTAGGGTTTGTTTTCTTACAAACAAGGTATTAAAAACAAGGTTATTTGAAGTCCATTCTAACCTTTGGAAGTTTTTCTCCTAATCATCATCTCAAGAAAGCTAAAGATTCTAGGTCCTCTACCTGGTCCTACGGTCGCTATGTAGGGTTTCAGTTACTTACAAGAGACCGGGAGCTCTGCTTGGACGGTGGCAGAAACTGTCTCACGTTAGTGGGCGTTTCCTTCTCAATGGAATGCCGTCTCTGCGGAGGCTGCCGTCTCTCTGGCTGGGGCGTTGATGAAATGGGCAAGAACTTCGGAGGTGCTAAAGAAAAGAATTAACCAAATTACAATGACTTTTCTTACTATGAGGATTGTTAGAGAAGAATCTTTGCAAGGTAAACTTGCTACAGAAATTGCAAGGAAAAAGCAAAAAAATATTCATTCAAATTCCTACCTATTAATAGAAATGCAACAGAAGTACAGTCTCAAATTTGTACATACAAATGCCCTCATGTTGTTTTCCATGGAATTTTGTAATTAAAGAGTTTCAGGCATTATTCAACAAATCCTATAAAATATGCATTTTGTATATCTAAAAGTCTCCCAAATCAAACCAAAATTCTTTTTAAGAACTTTTAAAAAATATATTTTAATATTATTCTGTGCTAGTTTCAGATATACAGCCAGCATAGTGGTTAAACAATCATGTACTTTACAGGGTGACATTAACAAAATTCTAGTGTTCCTTTCTAGGCATGCATAGTCACTCTAATTTTCCCGGATATGCAGTTGCTTTTGAATGTCCTAATGTCCTGGCTGTTAAAGGGGAGAAATACAAAAATGAAAGGGGGGTGCCAGCCTTTAAGAGCTTTGCAAGTCCCTTGAGCTGGAGCAGAGGGTAGCTAGCAGAAATGCAACAATGGCTGCCCACCTCTGGAGTCAGAGGCAGCAATCAAGGCATAGCATTTGGTGACAGGGTCCTTTTGGTCCACCCTGGCTAATGCAAGCTTTGTGCAAGCTGCTCCAGAAGCAGTACACACTGTCTGCCAGGGGCAGGGGGTCAGGGGTGAGTAGCTGGTTCTATGCTAACAGCTGACTAGAATTAACCACAATTTACTATCCAAGTCCTTGGAAGTCAAAAGCCTTCAACAGACTCCTGAGTTCCAAAACAGAGCAAAGTCTGCCAGAGCAATTGTTGTCTGGTACACTACCGACTCCCACTGTCTCAGAATCATCTTCTTTTTCTTTTTAAAAAATATATTTTATTGATTTTTTACAGAGAGGAAGAGAGAGGGATAGAGAGTTAGAAACAGTGATGAGAGAGAATCATCGACCAGCTGCCTCTTGCATACCCCCCACTGGGGATGTGCCCGCAACCAAGGTACATGCCCGGGACCCTTCAATCCTCAGGCCGATGCTCTATCCACTGAGCCAAACCAGTTTCGGCCCCAGAATCTTCTTAACATAAAAATTTATTCCTTTTAAAATTTTATAAATAAAAACATTTAGGAGTCACTTAACTTTCTATTCTAAAGTACTGACTTATTTCCTACAACTGTTATCTGTAAAACCAAAGGTGACTGATCTAAGTTAAAAACCTGAGTCTTAGTATTAGTTTAACCTTACCTTATAATGTCACTCTGGGAATATAACTGAATATTTCTGTTTGGACTAGTGAAGTTCCAGACTTAGTTCTTTATACCCCAAATAATTATGAGGCACTTTGGGATCCCCTACTCGAGGAGAAGCATGTTTTTAAGGTATCTCATGCTAGTTCTTTGTGCCACAAATACTTACTCTTCCTTGTGGACACAGCCTCCAGAAAGGGATCGTCAAGGAAGGAGGGAGACACACTGCTGCTGCTGGCTGACTTGTGCAGAGTCTCTTCCTGGGAAGGAAAGGAACAGAGAAATAGTGAGATTCCCTAGACCAGTGGTCGGCAAATTCTTTAGTCAGCAGAGCCAAATATCAACAGCACGATTGAAATTTCTTTTAACTCCCCCCACCTTCTCCTTCTTCTCCAACATTTCTGTAATACTGGTTTGATGTTGATGAATTCCTTCAGCTTTTTCTTGTCTGGGAAAATCTTTATCTCTCTTTTAATTCTAAATGATAGCTTTGCTGGGTAATCTTAGTTGTAAATTGCTTCTTTGAATATTTCATTCCAATCCCTTCTGGCCTGCACATTTTCTGTTGACAAATCAGCTGATAGTCTTAGGAGACTCCCCCCTGCCACCACTTTGTAGGTAACATTGCTTTTCTCTTGCTGCTTTTAAGATCCTTGTCTTTAACGTTTGCCATTTTTAAAAAATTGATTTGGTGCCATATGCGCACAAACTGGGGATCGAACTAGTAACCTAGGCATGTGTCCTGACCAGAAATTTAATCCATGACATTCCAGTGCATGGGATGATGCTCCAAGCACTGAGCCACACTGGCCAAGGCAACTTTTACCATTTTAACTATGATGTGTCTTGGTGAGCTCGTTTGGCTTCATCTTGCATGGGACTCTCTCTGCTTCCTGGACTTGTACATCTATTTCCTTTGATAGGTAGAGAAGTTCTCTGTCATTATTTCTTTAAATAGGTTTTCAATTCCTTCCTCTTTCTTTTCTACTTCTGGTACTCCATATGTTACAAATGTTACCAACTTCAATATTAATCTATCCTCATTTTTAATAATGCCTTTTTTCTTTTTTGCTGTTCTAATGGGTGTTTTCTGCCACCTCTTTCTAAATCACTGATTCAATCCTGTGCTTCATTTAATCTACCATTGATTCCTCCTAATATATTATCATTCATTTGTTATTGTATTCTTCATTTCCAACTGCTTCTTTTTTATGTTTTCTATCTCCATTTTTTGGCTCCCCATCTCTTGGTTAAAATTCTCACTAAATTCATATACTCTTCCTCTAAGTTCATTGAACATCCTTAAGATCAATGTTTTGAATTCTGCATCTGATAGATTGCTTGTCTCCATTTAAAAAAAAATTTTTTTGGGGGGGGTTCATTTTCTGGAGGTTTTCTTTGTTCTTCATTTGGGACATGTTGCTTTGTCTCTTCACTGCGGCAGCCTCCCTGTGATTGTTCCTATGTATTAGGGGGAGCCGCAACATCTCCTGGCCTTGGCAGAGAGGCCTTATGTAGTAGGTGTTCTATGGGACACGACAGCACAGTCTCCCTAGGCACCTGGGTCTCAGGTGCTGGGTCTCCAGCTGGGTCCTTCATGTGGGATATACGGGCCCCTTCACTGTAGTTGAGCCTTGAGACATGTCAATGGAAGGGATTGATCCTCGGGCTGATTGGTTGTGAGGACTGGCCATGACTACAGTGAAGAAGCAATTGTGCAGAGGCTGACCCTATGGTGCTAGATTCTCTTTAGTGGGGCCCTGATACTGGCTGAATCTGCCATTTGGGTATTTTGCTGGTCGAGGTGGTTAAGTGATGCTTTGGATGTGGTCTGGAAGCTGACCACTGGGTGCAATGGTTCTGGGCACTCTCGGGTGGTGCAGGCCAAAATTAGTCACCGCCTGTGCCTTGCCTGGGGCCACATGTATGAGCTACAAAGTGATCTCCAGATGGATGCCACCTGTACTGAGCTTGGAGGTACCGACACTCTAACTACTGAATCACCAGCTAGGGCAATTTAGTTGTAATTTTGATGTCATGAGAGGAGGCAAGTATAGCACTTACCTACTCTACCCATCTTGAACAGAACTCTTAGTTTCATCATTTTTAGAAGAGGGTACATATTTCCCAGGCCAGTGCTGCTCAGTTGGTTGGGCACTGTCCTGTGTATCAAAAGGTGCCAGTTTGGGGTCTGGTCAGGGCACATGTCTGGGTTGTGGGCTCAATCCCCAGTGAAGGGCATGCAGCAGGAGGCAGCAGATCGATGTTTCTCTTTCTCATTGATGTTTTTCTCTCTCTCTTCCTTCCTTTCTATCTAAAAATCAATAAAAATATATATTTTTAAATAAGAGGGTATATATTTCCTAGTATTATTGGAAAGACCAGATGAGATACTGCATTCAAAAAGCTTAACACATTACCTGGTCTATAATAAATGGTGGTTTATATTTTTATTAGGGAAATATTTAACACATTTATAACAATAACAGGAACCCCACGAGGGTAGAGGCCATGTGTCTTACTCATTGCTGTTACCTAGTATCAAATCCATCACTTAGTGTATAATGAATACAAAGTTTTTGAATAAATGGATGAAAAAAAACATTCTATGAAATGACATGATTCTAGAAAATTGTCTACATTCTGCCAAATAAAATTTAAATTCCTTTTATCAGTGAGAAAAGATCTTATTGGTTTATACTATACCAAAATGAAGTATACTACTTATTCATAAAAAAATTTATTATCTACTCTATGATCGGGAATACACATTAACTATCAGGCAATTTATTTCTATAGAAAACTGATATTTTTAAATATAGAAGAAAATCAGGTTAATATATTAATCTATGATTATATAAGACAAATAGTGAAAATTCTCTTAGACCTACTTAGTAAAGGTGACTTTAAGAACTAGCTATTCACTAAAAACTGGCCTCATCTAAAACCTACGGCTGAAAGCATTAGTTTCAAACAAGTTACAATTCAAAGGATCTTATCGAAGAACAGAAGAAAAAGAACTGTGTAAACCACACGGTTCAAACAAGGAAGGTTGGAACAGTGACCTCCATGCTCTTGACACTTACCATGAAAAACAAATCAAGCAATGTAAGCAAATCCTCAACCTGCGAGTGACATAAATCTCCAGAAAAGCTATCAAACAACTAGAATGACCTTCTTCTGCTTATGGAAGGTCAAAAGGGAATAGAAGTCAAGAGTATTTCTTAGGAAATGAAAAAAAGTCACACGCAGCACTTTCCAAATGATTATGAGATGGGTGCTACCCTGACTTAAACAGCAGAAATCAGCCCACCTTCCCAAGAAACATTTCTTAAAGCCCAATTTCACAGAACTCTGAGGGGTATGTCCACACCTTCCACCCTACTCTTCTTTACTGATTTGAATTCTCCTACTATGAACAGACAACCTGTCCTGGGGCGGGGCGGGGGTGGGGGGGAGTAAATACAAGCCAGTTTGTAGGAGACAGAAAAAAATGTGGGGACACTGACCTAAATACATTTCTAGAAATATTTTGAGAAACAGTTCAAACCAAAAATGTAGCATAGTTACAATAGTGTTGTTATTTATAATTCCCAAATAAGGGGCTGGTTAAATAAAATATGGTAAACTGTTATGATGGGATATCACACCAATATTAGGCATCATGTTGGAAAAGTTTATGTAATGAGATGGGGAAATGCTCGTGAAATATTTTTTAAATAAAAATCACAGGTTAGTTCTAGTTCTGGCAAAATGACAGGTTAGACAACCTATTTCTAAGGCCAAAAGTGGTTGGTTTCTGGGGCCAAGTTTAACAAATGGCCAAGTTCAATCACTAGGAACTTTCAAAAGCTTGCAGTTAGTGCTTATTTATTACTTAACTATTATTATTTAAATGTACAAAGCTGCCAGATAAGTTTTATGAGATCTCACTCATATGTGGAATCTAATAAACAAAATAAACTGATGAACCAATAGGTCCAGAGACATAGAAGCATGGGACAGACTGTCAAATCTCAGAGAAAAAGGCAAGGGATCTGTATTTTCTAAATGTTAAAGTTTGAACATATTTAGATGTTTTAAAATTATATTTAGAAGTTTTAAAATTCTATATTCAGAAGAAAGGAACATAAGTATGCTCATTTAGTATACTTTTGACTAGTCTATCTTTAGTACTTAAAAACATCAATTTTAGCCGAAACCAGTTTGGCTCAGTGGATAGAGCGTTGGCCTGTGGACTGAAAGGGGGTGTGCAAGAGGCGGCTGATCGATGATTCTCTCTCATTGATGTTTCTCTCTCTCTTTTTTTTTTTTTAAATATATTTTATTGATTTTTTTACAGAGAGGAAGAGAGAGAGAGAGCCAGAAACGTCGATGAGAGAGAAACATCGACCAGCCACCTCCTGCACACCCCTCATCGGGGATGTGCCCGCAACCAACGTACATGCCCTTGACCGGAATCGAACCCGGGACCTTTCAGTCTGCAGACCGACGCTCTACCACTGAGCCAAACTGGTTTTGGCCGATGTTTCTAACTCTTTATCCCTCTCTCTTTCTCTCTGTAAACAAATCAATAAAATATATTTTTTTAAAAAACAAAAAACATCAATTTTAATTTGAAGAGGAAGAGAGAAAGATGCTTAGTTCTAGGCCAGTGTCTAAGAACATTCACTTGTTCCATGAGTCAGAGATTCCCACCACCAGTGACTAAGAAACTATCATCCAGGCTTAACCCCGCAGCCAGCGACAAAGGTCTGAGTCAGCTGAAAACCTGCTCTAACGTATCTCTTTTCAGCACCTTCTTTCTTTTAATTTTTATTGTGACAAGTGTTACCTATATCCCGATCCTCGCCCCACTCCCTCCAGTCCACTCCTGCCCCCGCCCTCATCACCCACTGTGTCCATGGGTTATGCATATATGCATACAATCAGCACCTTATTTCTGGATTCACATTTGAACTGATGATGAGCAGATGCTCAAAAATGGCCTCCCTCTGATTAAAAGAATTGTGTCTATCAAATCATCTCAAGATTTGGACTTGGGACTCTGGCAGTAGTTCTTCAAAAAAAGGACAACCAGCCGAAACAGGTTTGGCTCAGTGGATAGAGCATTGGTCTGCGGACTGAAAGGTCCCAGGTTCGATTCGGTCAAGGGCATGTACCTTGGTTGCGGGTACATCCCCAGTGGGGGTTGTGCAAGAGGCAGCTGATTGATGATTCTCTCTCATCGATGTTTCTAACTCTCTATCCCTCTCTCTTCCTCTCTGTAAAAAAAATCAATAAAATATATATTTTTAAAAATAAAAAAGGACAACCAAGAAGATTGTAGAGGCTGCCCATTTATCTTATGACGGCCAGGTATATAGTCTTGCCTCAAGAGATGAGTGGAGGAGGAAAAGAAAAGTTGTTAAAAATGGTTCAATAGATGAAGGAGGAGCACCCCTTGTCCTTCAGACCAGTGCTGTCCAATAGAGCTCCGTGGAGTGATGGTTAATTTGCATATTACTCTTTTATTAGGTAGGATGTTCGTGTCTACGGGGTATTAAGAATTGAGAATCTAGCCGAAACTGGTTTGGCTCAGTGGATAGAGCACCTGCTAAGAAGAAAAAAGGTAAGATGGGCCTGAAGAGAGAGAGACAGCATGTACGAGTGTGCACTGAAGTCAGGCAGTAGTAAGGATATTTCCTTATTATTCTTAATGTTTGAAAGACATTTAGTAGCAAAATTGTTATTACTGGTATCTTCTGGGTTAGGGTTGAAGACTGATGAGAGGGGAATTGAAGAATAACACCTTAAATTCTACCCTGGATGGATGTGGAGAGGGTGGGGCCAGCAACCACAATAGCAAACAGAAGATGAGAAGCTGGTTGTCTGTGCTGTTGGGGTGGTGGTGGTGCTGGGGGGTGGGGGGGTGGAGACAGGAGGTAGGGGGCAAGAATGTGATTTCATTTTACACATTTTGATTTTGAGGATGGAGTAGAGGAGATATACAATACTGATGTCCAGATAGAAGACTGAGAGATTTGGGAAGCATCAGCAACAGCATCCTTCCTGTTTCTTGAAAACAAGGATGTCAGATCTTGCCCAGAGGGCAGTAATGAAAGATGAAATCTGGAGAACACTAGCACAGTTTCCTTTCCGAGGCCTGCCTGATGTTATCGGAGAAAGGGCAACCTCCAGTAGGGATGTGTCTGTGTGTGTATTTTAGGGAGAGAAGTAAATGGATGACTATTCTACAGTGTTAAGTGTTTTTAGTGGAAATATGTTTTCCTTTTCCCTTCCTCCATATCAAAGGTATTTAAGATAATATAAGCCTAAAAACTGATGACTTTTTTTTAACCCTACCATAATCTAAGACTACATCAATATTTTAAAACTTACTCTATATATTATGGTCATTATATTGATCTTTACTAAGTGACAATAAATAATCCTCTGTTTTATTTCCTGCTAAACCAATCAGTTTTAGCCCTAACTTTATTGCTTGAAAAACGGGGAGGTCGGCGAGTGTCAGCACCCTGAACTCGGAGTCACGCTCTGTGGATGGGGCCTCGCGGGCCGGACTTCAGTCGGAACAGAGCCTCACCTCGGAGTCGGAGCTGTCCAGCTCGGCCAGAGTCGGCGCTTTGAGGAGCCTCTTCCGCTGCACAGACACCTGCTGCGCAGCAGTTAACCCATTCTCTTTCGTTTGTGACGCTAGACCTCCATTCACCACCGATGACTCTGCAGTGCTCTTTGGAGAGTCAGGGGCAGTTACATCTGGTAAGAGAAAGAAGAAAGCTCACCTTTTCCGGAGCTAAGAAAGGTAATCAGTGGATAAAACACACTTCCCCAAGTACCTGCACTCAGAAAACACACACCAGTGACGTAGCATTTCCCTGTCACACATATAGAGCACAGAAGCTTGACACACCTATGTATACAAAACATTTTTGTTAGATAATACCTGTTGGGTTCAATTGAAGAAAACCTTTGACTGACCAATGATATATTTACATTGATAGGTTAAAACTTAGAGCTGAAAGAAGTTCTACAGATAACTGACTTAACTTCTTCATTTTCCAGAGGCTGAGAGGCTAGTTTTACTTTATAGATTCTAAGAGCTAGTGATGGGTGGATCAAAGTAATGGCTTGAATGAAGCCCGATTAAGCGTATGGTTGTCAGATATGAACATCGTTTGATTTAAAATAGCTAATAACTCATTTTCATATAAACATGAACACAAAACATCTGGGATACAATCCCTCAGAGAAAGCTGACTTAGTTTATTCAGAGCTCCAATCTGGATGGGAAAGCAATGTATTATAACAAATTAAAGAAATGCAGGGCACAGAGCAGAGCACAGGGTAGACAGTACAGTAAAAGGCAGATGGCTCTGCTCAAAGTCATGCTCTGCTGCTAGTTTCCTAACCTTTTGTTCCTCAACTATAAAATGAGCTAACAACAGACATGAATTTGTTTTGAGGATTAAATAAGTTAACAACTGTGTATGATACTTAATGCTGTGTGTATTAAAGGCAGTTCACCATGAATGTTAGCAATTAATAACACCAATTTGTATTTACATTAACGACTAAGCCAAGGATCAGAGTAATTTAGCCAGTCATACATCTAGTGGGTGGAGGAAACCTGAATCCTAGTCAGTACTGATTCTAAAGTCCATTTTTTTTTTTTTTTGCACTGTAGCCTGGAATCTTCCAATGCAAATGGAACCACTATTCTTCAGTATTTCAAATGAAGTATTAAATATCAAAGTTTAATAACTACCAAATTAGAGTATTTAAAGATGGGGAAAAGCAGTCATTGTATAATTTAAGGTCCACATCAGCACTGTGAGCAGGCCTGTGCACATGGAACAGCCTGAAGCCCTGTAGTTGAGGGTAAGGGTACACTAAGCACTCAGCGAAAAAGACATGCCTTGAGCTCCTTTACAAGGGGAAAGCACTGTAACTGGTTATTATAAAATTAAGAATCAGCAGTTCCCCCCAACAAATAATGTTTATATGCTTAAAGTTTAAGAAGTGGCTTTTCAGGAAAGATTAAGTATATAAATGTGTTCTAATACAGCCTTCTATAACATTATCTGACTTAATATTTACAATTTCTGCTTATTTTGAGAGACCAAGAAGGCCAGAGAACACTCCCTGGTGGACTAGAAGAAAGGGTTTGAGAAAGCTAGGAAGGATGGAGGAAAGGAAAAAGGAAGGAAGCAGACAGACATACCTGTCCATCAATCATTTACCAGTTTACATAAGATTTCTAATAGAAATTTTGACAACACGTGCATTACTTTTGTTATTATGTTTCCAAGTATTAAGTAGCTAGAACAAATAAATAATTAGGGAAGGAGGTATGCTGAAGGGGACAAAAGGGTATTTAAAGATGGGAAAGCAGCAAGTTTCTATACACATTATAATGGTTAAAGTCTTCAAATACAGCTTTATTAAGCAGGTGTACAGAGTGTAAGCTGCAACACTTAGGAATGATTTCCAAGTTTTCTAGAAAGCAAAGGAGGAAATGACTGGGCTAATTCCTGGTAAAGAAAAAAGGTAGTGCTTAAATATGGCCTTAAAGTATATATACATATTTTTAAATTTCTTTTCTTTTTTTTATCAGAGAGAAAAGGAGAAGGAGAGAGACATTGAAACATCAATAATGAGAGAGAATCACTGATTGGCTACCTCCTGCATGCCCCTTACTGGGATTGAGCCTGCAATCCAGACATGTGCCCTTGACCGGAATCAAAACAGGGACTCTTCGGTTAGCAGGCTGACGCTTTATCCACCGAATCAAATCGGCCGGGGCAGAAGTAAATCTTTTTAAAAACCTGATTCTATAGTGTATCTCATTTCATACCCTTCCTATGGAATTGTTCATGTTAGTCTTTTAAGAGATAGCTCAAAGTTAAAATTACACACTCTTTCATCCCTCTTCACTACCCATATTTCAATTGAGGCTCCCAAATTGGAGGCATAGTGAGGACGCAGTGCAGTCAGCCTCCCAAGGCAGATCTCACATCCCCGATCTATCAGGCCAGGTGAGACCGCTTAGGAGTGCCTGGAGGAACACTGAAACAGTTTAATGGTCATATATTTACTTTAATGTATCAAAAAAATACTTTATCAGCCGAAACCGGTTTGGCTCAGTGATAGAGCGTCGGTCTGCGGACAGAAAGGTCCCAGGTTTGATTCCAGTCAAGGGCATGTACATTAGTTGTGAGCACATCCCCGGTAGGGGGTGTGCAAGAGGCAGCTGGTCGATATTTCTCTCTCATTGATGTTTCTAGCTCTCTATCCCTCTCTCCTCCTCTCTGTAAAAAATCAATAAAATATATTTTTTAAAAAATACTTTATCAGATGCATGATTTTATGGATGTTTTTGATTAAGATATTTAAGTCATTTATGATGGATTTCAAAAACTTAAAATAGTACCTGGTAGCACTTAAGTCTGGCAAAAATCATGAGGGTGGCGTCTGAACTGAAGTTTAGGAAACACTGTTAAGTGATAAGGGCTGCCATGAGTTCATTTCATTCTCAAGGCAGAGATTTGAGAATCTATCCAATAGCTCTCCAATTGCCTAAACAATGTGCTATGAGACTGATAGCGTTCACTGACCAAAACTACTAAAATAAACACCTAGTACTAAACTGAAGGCTTTGAGATAAATAGGATGAATAAAAAATATGCTATGTAACAGTAAGGTTTCAGAATGATCTCAACACATAAGACTAAATATTGTGTGTGATTTCATCTCATATTTCATATTTATAAAAGACTCAGTTAAAGATATTTTAAGAGATGTAGTTTGATTACTTACACTCTTCTGTTCAAATAAATAAATCCTCACTACTTTAGTGTAAATGAGAAAACCAAATACTTCGATAAAACTTTGTACTTCTACGTAAGACAATTTCTGGAGGGGAAAAACCTGATATTTATAACTAAGCAAAATATTTAAGATATGGCTTTAAAAGTCACATATCTCAGGTTCAGTGCATGGCCATGATATTGAATGCTTTATTATAACTTTATGTGTGTTAGATACACCCAGTTGCTGTCTTAGTTGGAATAATTATAACTTGTATACAGATTACATATTTAATATTTGCATTGCAAAAATAAATTATACTTACCTTAATTACTGTTGAATGGATCAAAACTTTCCACTAAGGATGAATATTTCTAAGATATACATAAGCAACAGAATATACCTTATGTCTTATTTCACACTTGAGTTCAGAGGAATTATTTATATGTTTCAATATTTACTCCTTAGTTTTCCAACTTCGCATTAAGTTAAAGAATGGATCCATCTTTCCCATTTCTAGTTTTTAAAAAGATGATCTTAACCCTAGCTGGTTTGTCTCAATGGGTAGAACATTAGCCTATGGAATGAAAGGTCCCAGGTTCGATTCTGACGAAGGGCACATGCCTGGGTTGCAGGCTCGATCCCCAGTAGGGGGCATGCAGGAAGAAGCCAATCAATGATTCTCTCTCATCATTGACATTGATGTTTCTATCTCTCTTTCCCTTTCCCTTCCTCTCTAAAATCAATAAAATATATGTATTTTAAATTGATCTTAGAGAGAGGGAGTGGGGGAGAGAATAAGGGCAACATTAATGTGAGAGAGAACATCGATTGATTGCCTTCTGTACATGTCCTAACCAGGAACTGAACCCGTAACCTAGGTATGTACCCTGACTGGGAATTGAACCTGCCACCTTTTGGTGTCGAGGACAATGCTCCAACCAACTAAGCCACCCAGTCAGGGCCCATTTATAATTTGTCAAGATACAACTTAACATTAGCATAATGTTACATAAAATTAGCACAAGAAATTGAGAACAAAGCAGGTAGAAGTCATGAAGTATATATTTACACTAAGTTATGAAATAAACTATAGCAAATGATGAGCAGTGGAAGCACATAAAAACTTTTTTTACTCATTTATATCAAGGAGGTAAAGTACCAATATCCTTCTTTCCAATACACAACCCATCATATAACCTAACAGAACCCAAAATACACCTATATATAATGTGTCAGGGCATGCATAATGTCTAAACCAGTCACCTGAGCTTAACTGTGTAAGCCAATCGCCAATGTGCTTAGGTAGCCAGCCACTCTTATACAGTCCAACTGAGGGTACATCTTTAGTAGATATTTAGAAGAGGTAGAGTGTCTGTAATATATACTGCCAACTTTTACGAGACTGGTAGTAAGTATTCCAAAACATTTCTGAGTTTATTTTCCAGAACAAAATTTTTTATAAGGTTACTCTGCAAATGGTTGGTAAAATGAAAATTTTCAAGCGGATAAAGAAAATAGAAAAGCTCTTTAGTGGTCAGTCAAAAGTAGTAAAATGAAGAGTGTAAATTATTTATTTGAATTTTTTGAAAACACTTATATTACTACTGTCTGAGACCTACAAGCATAAAAAAAAGTTTAAAAAACAGTTGGGAACTAATTTAGCAGATGAAAGTAAATATTCATATACAGAATATAAAACTAGAACTCTCTGGCTCTTTAAATATAAATTTGTATTTAATATATGTCAACAATTGCATGGCATATAAAAGAAAATTCTGGAAGAAAATATTAGTCCCAACATCTTATCTCATTTTATATTGAAAACGACAGCTTCTGAAATTAAAAATTCTAACTTGCAAAATAATTTATGAGATTAAGATGGCTTGGAACCTTCGCTCATATATAGTTTAAAAACTCCATTTAAAAAGAGGGCTGATTTTATAGAT